CTTATATTGGAGTTTCACCTTCTAAGATGGCATGGCTTAGTAGTTATGTTGTCCATCATGTACTTCAAACGTACTGTGTTCAGATCATGCGATAACATTGGTCAAGTTACTTACGTCTAACTGTCTCGAATGACACATACTCACTACGGTATGACGTATAATACAGATCCTATGGCTAGTTCACGTAGATTTTCGGAAAACTAGTACATGGTTAGTGAGTGTGTCAAGTAATTGGACGAAAGAATTCTGCGTCATCTGATCCGAGCTGTTGTTGATGATTAGTGACGAGATAGATGACCATGTCAGACGCTTGTCAACTGTAGAGAAGATATCGGGCTATCGAAACTGCCATTCAGTAGCATCTTATACTGGAAATGGTAGTCACAAGGCGGGATATTCTTCTTCTTCATCCTTTCCTAGGCATATCACACTCAAAAATAACTCATACTATCATTTCTTCATAAATAATATAAATGAACAAAAACTTAGTATCTATAATAAATTTTATTTATTTATTTTAGATGTTAGAACATGGTTTAAATTATCATGATGAATCTCCATTAGCACGTTTTCCATCATCGTCTGTTTAATACATTATAATCTTTTTTATAAATAATGATAAAAAATAGTCTTTTTCTTTTTTTTTTGTGTGTCTACTGATATATTTTTCTCGACTGTATATAGTTAAAATTGAATATTTGCTATCATTTCTCTCTTCTCTCATTCGTATGTATCTCTCTTAAAACTCATATTTTAGTTTTTTAATGATAGCGATGTGTAATTTTTGTGTTATATTTTATACTGTTACGGTGATTTTATTTTTTTCTTTGTTTGTATAAATGCGTCTCTTTGGACGTGAATTTAAAATATTACAGAAATAACATATTTTTAATCATTTGTTGATTAAAAAAAAATTTTAAGAAAAAGAAGATAAAAAAAAAATTGTCAGTTATAAAAAAAATATATATTTTTTCTTTTAATGTCAAAATCATCGATTAGAGAGTTAAACTTTATTTTTAGAAAAATATGTTTTCGATCTTGGAATACTTTTGATTACATATATAGGCAGATATAGAGATATATTGTCTTTTAGTAATAATTGTAAAAATGACTGACTCATTTTTGTGAGACAGTTGACTTAAAGCGTAGAATATTTAACAGAAATGTGTGTAATAATAAAAAAAAGTTAGACTGTCAATAGATGTACTGTGATGTGTACATTGTTAGTTAGTAAATATATTTATATTATTCTATGCAAACTCTGCCTCTATTTCAATCAATTTGATCATTACTTTTTCATTGTATAACTTCCAAAATCTTCATCATATTTTTTTCGATCATATAAACAAATCGAGATCTGTATTATACACTTTTTACCATGATTTTGAGATTAAAAAAAAAAAATTCTTTATGTTTTTTTTTCATTATGAATCTAAAAAATGTTTTTTTCTTCTCAAAACTTTGTCAACTAAGATTAAAAATATGTTATTTTTGTGATTATTTCTTATTTTGCTCCGTCTGTTTGTCAAATAATCCTCTGATGTTAAAAATTAAGCACATGAAAATGCGAAAATATAACTAATGTTTGTTTATTTTTATTTTTTATTTCTTTATTCCCCGGTGTGTGGGTGGATGTCTTCAATATTAAAAACAGTGACGTTTAATTTCTTTTTTTTTTTCTTTTTTTGTGTGTGTATTTTCTATTTTTATCTAATGTACTCTTACGCAATGGTTTGATCCTGCATATCTTCCAACATTTTCTAAACTTTATTCCTTATCTTTTTGGAATAAAATATACGCAACAGAATTATTATTTATTTTATGTTTAATACAGTATTCTTTAACAGTTTTATTTATAATTGTAAAAAGTTTTTACTTTAAAGACATGTTATATTTAACGAGCCTTTTTATTATGACTCTGTTCTATTTTTTTGTATACCGTAATGTGCCTCTTTTGAATATATATTTGTCTATATAAAATATTTTTTATTACATACTTCTATAAATATTTAAAACTAATCTAGTCGAATTAAACTATTATCATAATGTCTATTCTAACAGTTTTACACGTTTATTAGCGTAACCGAATCCGGTGTTGTTCATATATTTGTTTACAATAGTCACTGTTTTCCTCTCCTTTCTCTCTCTCTCTCTCTCCTCTCCGCATTCTTCTTGTGCTACCGCGTTAAGTTTATATGTTTTAATCCTAGTCATCATGTTTTATTTTTTTCATAAGTAAAATAAAATCCTTGTAGGTCTATGTTTATTTTGACCAAAAGTGCTTTTATTATTATTATTTTGTTCTCATTCTTTCTTTTCTGTTGCTTCTATTCTACTTCTAACAATAAATAAGATAGAATGAGAGAGTACTTGTGCATGCTTGTGTAGGACGTATATTTGTGTATATTTTATTTTTGAACACATCAAATTTTATCTTTCTCTTTTCTTTTCTTTTTTTTTTTTCTTTCAACTAATTGATTACTAATAAATTTTAAACAATATTTAGCCTATTTGTTTTTTCATTGTTCGACATCTGTTCGAAATGATAATGGCAAAAATGTTTATGGTTTTAAGTAAAAAGTAGAACTATTGAGATATGAAAGTTAAAATTTCAAGATATAGATGACTTTTTTCTTTCTATCAACAACAGCACTGATCCCGGTTGACATGTGTAGTGATCACATAAGATCCTCTTCCTCAAAACTTTTTGCTGATAACACTCTTATGTTTTATTACAAATAAATGTAGTCTCCGTCAAACCTTGTTCATACATTAGATGAATATTAATCATGCACAGGAAATGAAACATGTGTAGTTTTGTTACGTTCATTGTGAGAATGAGAATTTGATGCATAAATTATGAAAATACTATCAAAAGATTGTTTTACTTTCAAAATTCATATTTGCCTAGAGAATATTTTCGGTACTATGAACATTTAAATATAATTGATAAACTAACAAAGAATTAGTTTAGTTCAATTTTTCTAGACACCTTGAGTTTTGATAAAACTTAATAAATCTGTTTCATTTGCACACATAAAAACTAATAGCCAGGTCTTGCGAGTCACAGGTTGTTTAACAGTGGTAATAATAGTTAATAGTGATGTGAATGAAAAAAAGATGTAAGCATTGCTATTGTTTATATTTCAACATCATACAGGCTTCTTTACACTCGCATCACACATTAACTGGGATCAATTCTGTTGTTATTGACAGAAAGAAAAAAGTTTTTCGTAATCAATTCTGTCGAAAAATATGTTTTTTTTTCGGGATCCTTTTTGCTTTTAAGTATTTTCAATAAAGAGTTAGATAATTTTTTTATACATAGAAAAGTTCAGTTTTAATTATTTATATGATATAAAGAATCATATGAATCTGAAAAATATATTCTTTAGTTATTTTATAGAATTCAGTTGTTTCCTTTTACTCATTTGAGTCTGTTAACAAATATCTTGACTTTGACTAGTCTTTAACATGAAATAAAATTGATTGTTAACACAGTTGATTTTTATTTTATGATAAAAAAAAAAATAGAAAATGTGTATTTTCTAAAAATAAATTGATATAAAAAATATCGAGAATTTATGGTTGAGATCATTTTCTTTTTATAATTATTAATTAGATTTAAAAAGTGGTCTCAATTCGGAAATGAAAAAATTTTATAGTAGAAAAAGCGGTCTCAATTTGGAATAGAGAGTTTGTTCTTTTCACATACTTTGTACACTGTTTATTTAATTTCGAATCACTCTTTGATTAAGAATAATTGACTACTGTAGACACACAAATAAAGAGTAGCCCAGAAGTCCTGACCCGATTTGAATAATAAATTTTCTTATAGTGAAACAAGTGGTTGTGAATTTGTCTCTATGAAGAAATGATGCAGTAAAAAACGCTCTACAAGATGACTGTTGATTGACCCCGTTAGCTCATCTAATAAGAAAATTATAGGCTTAGAAATGTGCTTCACAAAAAAGAAAAAATCAACCGTGAACCCGATCCATATAGTAGTGCTTTCAGTAAAAGTCCCATAACTTCATCAAAACAAAATGTTTTTCGATCGGGTTTGTTTTGTTTTGATCAGAAATGATTGCTCTTCTCTACCTAGTTGCAACATCAAAACTTCGATCATGTTTTCCGTTTCTTGCTGGGTACACTGTTGGAAACGGGATTGTCGATTTTTGACATATTTTTGAAACTTGATTCTCGCGCACACCATCTGCTCTAAAAAGTCTTTTTACAAATCGGTTAATTTTTCTTTTTTGTGAAGCACATTTCTAAGCCTATACTTTTCTTATTAGATGAGCTAACGGGGTCAATCAACAGTCATCTTGTAGAGCGTTTTTTACTGCATCTTTTCTACATAGAGACAAATTTACTATCACTTGTTTCACTATAGAAAAATTTATTATTCAAATTGGGTCAGGACTTCTGGGCCACCCTTTATATTATAATAGAAGGAAGAAACACAACAAACAGGATAGTTATATTTTACTCATCATCATCTTTAAAATTAGAATCATTATCTAACACAACTATATAATGGTAAATTTGGTAATGAAAACTTACTTATATATTTTTTCACTTGTTGATCATAAATTTGATGTATTGAAGTTGTTTGTTCTTCTAAAACACGTTTTTTTGATCAAATTGACACAATTCAAAACATTCTCCGATAATTTTGGATCATGCATTGGATAATGAGTGCCCTTATCATCAATACCACTACTATCAATTATGACATCGTCTGTTATTTTTATTGAACGCGAATAAGAATTATGAGTACAGACTCACCCATTTTTCAGTTCCGTTTTTATTTGACCGCTTTAAACAATATAAGTAACGTTTACATAATATACCATCTTGAGTTCAGTTTTCAGTTTTGATACGAGAAAAATCATTCCTAATTACAGAGTGATTCGAAATTATAAACAGCGTACAAAGTATGTGAAAAGAACAAACTCTCCATTTCAAATTGAGACCACATCTTATACTTTGTATAAGAAATGAGAGAATATATGCATTACAAATTGAGGACGCTTTTTAAATCTAATTAATAGTCATTTTATCTATTTAAGTTATAATTAAGCTGAAATTTTTTTTCTTCGAAATAAATCCTTAAAACAAACACTTCTTGTGTGACGTTTCGACAACTTAGGAACGATTCTTAATAATAATAATTTTCCTATATGACTTGATATCAATTAAATAACTAGTGTATGTCAACAAAGCACATTATCGAGAGAATAAGATAGTACTTAGATCGTTAATGAGTTCATAGAACAAATTTGTTCATTTCGTATATTTTTAAGTCGTAACAAAAGTAAAATATCATTGAGCAAAAAGACTGGTTGATTAACAACAGACGATTTTGATTTTCAAATACTCTTCGACAACACAGACATGTTAAGATTAACACAAACGAATTGATGAAATGAAGCTCTTAAATGAATGTATCCAAGTTTATCATGGAAAGAGAAGGGTGACTAACAGCGATCGAAACGAGTCGGCTTTTTTTGTCTTGTGCTCGATTCAACCGAAATCATACTGGGCTCGACTCATGAAGGAACCTTTCCAAATGTCTCTCGGTTTT